TCCTGTCTGTCTCTCTCTCTTCCAGGCTGGCATAACTGTCTCCTCCTGTCTGTCTCTCTCTCTTCCAGGCTGGCATAACTGTCTCCTCCTGTCTGTCTCTCTCTCTTCCAGGGTGGCATAACTGTCTCCTCCTGTCCATCTATCTTGTCCAGGCTGGTATATCTGTCTCTTGCTGTTTGTCTTTCTTTCAGACTGATATAACTGTTTTTCACTGTCTGCCTGCATCTTCCAGGTAGCCAACTGTCTCTTCCTCTCTGTCTCTCTTCCATGTTGTTATAATTCTCTCTCCCTATCTGTCTGTCTTCCAGGCTCGTATATCTGTCTTTTGATGTCTGTATTTGTTTTTGAAACTGCGTACTGCATATGGCGTACAGTGTACAGTATATACTGTATACTGCGTACTATTAATCAGTGTAGTATCCAGCTTTTTCATGAGTTCTGTAGCATGCCACATTTTCACATGACCCCCCCATGACCATTCCCCACAGACAAGGCGTCATTTAAAAGTGTTTTTCAGAAGGTGTGCTGCAAATGATTAAATTCTACAAAAAAACTTATCACAAATTAAATAATTTAAAATAATAAACACATACATTTTAATAGAAAGGTAATAACTGATTTTTATATGTGAAATGTTATACAACTACAGTTCTTTTATTCATTCCCCAATAACTAATTTTAACGTAAAAGCTCTCGTTGTTAAATAGGTTTTATAGTTAAGGCAATTTCAGGCAGAACACAAAAAGTGATCAGAGCCAAGAACATGGATAAAATACATGATCTGTTTATTTTAATAAATAGATTATCACAAATCGTAAGTGTACATTAACACATAATTAGACGCAGATAAATTAATCAAAATTACAGTGACATTTAATTCATCCTGTTGCAGGCTGTGATTATAGGGCAGTATTTGGGATTAAATCCCAACACCCTTGTCCCCTGTATTCTGTCTGCTAAATAGCTAAATAATCTGTGCCTCGCTTATGGGAAATGTAATAGGGAAATGTTAGCAGCAAACAATAGCTAGCTTGCTCATCTGTGTAGAACTATTAACTTGTTTGATCTAATTAGTCTGATGACAGTTTGCAGTAAATTGCTATGAAAATAACAATAATAGAAAGGAAAACTGAATAAAAGAAATTATTTTTTTCCAAGTTAAACAGTCAAAACGAGGCTGTGACGATCTGCTGCTTTGCATTATGGGACGCAGTAGGTGACTTAGACTGGTCTTGTGCATACTGGTGTGCGACATCTCAGTATCTTTGGTGTACTGTGTACAACATACTACTTTTTGGACTAAATCAGTATTATATTAGTAGTATAGTATGTGGTTTCAAAAACAGTTTGTCTCTCTCTTCCAAGCTTTTTGTGTCAGATCAGGCATTCAAGTAGACATGACAAATAAGAGAACCTCCCCAGAAGACTAATATGCTTTTATGTACCAGAGCATTCATACGAAGCTGAGCCAAGCTGCACTTATGCCTAGTCGACTCCTTGACAGCATGCATGTTTCTAATGTGCTACTTGCCTTGCTTATACGTCAAAAAAAAAAAAAAGTGCTCAATAAATGTAATTATTACTGCACCACATCCCCCCCTGCTGTTCAAATCTAGGCATTGCTGTCTGGCCAGAGTTGGGTTACTTTTAGGGTCCGACTGTTAAGAACACACAATTTTTTGATTATGAATCTACAGCAGAAGGCATGGTTTCATATATCTGTCATTTTACAAAGCAGTACACCCTTATCACTCTGTATCTTCACCTCCCTGACACACAAGTCCAGACAAGCCGTGTCTTTTGTTGGCTGCTTGCATGACTGAGCTGCCATTCCTCCCCAACACCCCGAGCCCTGCCTGCACACGCACGTGTCCCTCGCAGCCTCCCAGAGCCTTACGCCTCCAGGGAGACACGTTCATGTAGCAACCCTGAGTTCATCACGTCCCAGCCCAGCCTCTGTGTGCGCGCCCTGTCCAGCTCCCCGTGACTCTCTCCTGGATAAGCAGTATAAAGATGGATGGGTGACAGGCTCCAGTAGAAAATCTACTCAGTGCATCATGGAATAACAAAGCAGTGCATTCTGGGACGCTAATTTCCTTTTGATGAATATAATATAAGATATTATATGAATTGCTGGATATAACAGATATAACTGAATTACTAAACACTGAAGGCAGAATTCTCTTTAAATTTCACGGTGTGCATGTTTTTCAAAATCTGAAATCACAATTGTCAATGACAGGTCCTATATGTCATTGGTATGGGCTTCCTGGATTGTATATAAATATCACCTGTATGTTTTTGTGTAAACTTGCACCTAAATGCAGTAAATGCAGTGATGCATTGTTTTCTCTGTGTTTGGACAGAAATCGAGAGACAATGAGCTACGATGTGTGGTGCGTTCCTCCTAGAGGTCACTGCCGCCTTGTAGTCCTGTGTCTGCTGATGATCTCGTTCACAATGACATCTGCGTGTGCGTCCTCCAGCGCATTGATGCTCCTGTCATCATAGGGGTTTTCTGCAAGGCAAGACACAGAGTCAGAGAGCTGGAGGTGGACACAGAGGGGAAACCTGATCTGCAGGCTGATTCAGCTGAAGTGGATCTAAAAGACAATTAGGCTAATAGCTGAATGTTTTGACTGCTGTGGGACAAAATAAAATCTGTAAAAATGTTAGTTAATATACACTGAAAGGAACTGGAGTTCCTCAAAAGGTTTTAGCTACCATTCATGTTTGTTTAGTAAAAACGTCAGTGATGAAGAGCTGTTAAAAAAAAAACTGGTGCCTTCACCCACCGATGCCATTCACAGACTCTGCGGGTTCACTGGCCAGGAAGGAAGTGCTGGTAGTGTTGTTGGACTGAGTCGAATTGGACAAGCGGGAAGAGCCTGGGACCATCCTGGAGCGGTTCTTCGCCAGGTTTTGCGTAGCGGTCCGGCTCCAATCTAGAAGGTAGGAGAGCAGCAGAAACGAGGTTCGGCCTGTCAGAGCACTTCTGTGTTCATAATGCGCTTTCATATGATTTATCTATGTGTAATCCGGTGTTGGATTCTTTTGTGTCGCGGAGTGTGTATATGCCGTGGGGTAGGTGCTGCATTTATTAGATTAGATTAGATTAGATTGACTTTATTAATCCCACAATGGGGAAATTCTTTAGAAACAGCAGCAATAATAAAAAAGACAGTAAAAAAAGACAGTATAACAGCATGAATTTGTTTTACGTTCCTGCCTTCCTTTAACTTTGGTTTAATTGGGTACTGTTTTTATATCCACCAATCGGGGAAAGGGGAGGGGGGAGCGAGAGAGCGGGAACTTTGGCGGGGGCTCGAGAGAGAGGAAGAGGCTCGCTGAAGTGGAGGCGACAAGACTGCCCGTCTTGTGAGTGACTCGCTGCGAGCCGTGGAGCGGCGATGCAGGGAGAACAGATTCGCCTCCCAGAGGGGAAGGGATGTTGGCCGAAAGAGTTATTGTCTGATTCCAGGATCTTATTTTCCTTGTTCTTGCTCTTCGGAGTGAAGCGGCCGTTCCATTTGTGGTCACTAAGGACTCAAGCATCGACCAGGCCTGCCATGATTCTTTACTTTAACTTTTTACATATTTAAGTGTTTGGTGGATTAACGGACTGAGGGTTATTGTATATATGTTGTTCATTCTGAATGTGTTTGAATATACTGGGTATAGGTATGCTAGCTCTGCATAGGCTGTGATGGGAGCACTGCTCAAAGGTAGAGGACAAACGAATCCAGGGCCCCCGCATTTAGAGTTAATACAGTGCGGATACCGTAGAGGGCCGAAGGGGGCGCTACATATGCTTCTTCCTATTATTGAATAGTCAGGGGATTTTTAAAACTTGGTCATTTTAGTTGAGCAGTTTGGACTCCATGCTGCCCCTACTGGCTATTTAGGCAAAAATCTTAATATCTGATGTAACCATGGCAATGACAATGACCAGGGGTACCCACAGTATTGTCGTTCGTGGTACTCACACCAGTGATGCACAGGCGGATGGGTCCACGGTTACAAGTCAAACAAAAATATTTTAATGTGTGGGCGGGTCAGTTAAAATTAAATTTAAGCATATAAAGCGGGTCGGCCATCATTTTGTCTTTATTAATATTAGCATTCGAGGCAAGCTTGCTTTCTTTTTATTTTTAGATCAATGATGGAGTTTTAGGGCACTGATAAAAATATTAGAAAATAAAATAATAGGCTAATGGATTTATAGAATAAATCTGTAATATTTCCGTATGATTCTTCCTTCTACACAAATGGAGTGGAACACTTCAATGTCTTAATATGAATGATTATTAATACTAATGATTATTTAATGGTGATGTGCCAACAGATTCAGTATTTATCACATTTCACAAAAGTACAACTTCAAAAATCAATATCATCGATCAATATCTAACTAACTTAACTCTAACTTAACTCTCGTTGAACGACACTGGGAGGTGGGCAGTTAGTGTCCCAGCATGCATTTCTTCTTATGTTTGCAGTTGTTGTTTATTAACGTTGTTGTTCATGTGCAATATTTGGGAGGTGTGGAATTTTGTTGTATTTTGTTTTGTATTTGCTTGCATTTTGTATGTGTGTGAAATTCCCTGTTACGGTATTTGCCTGGGGTGCAGGATGCCTGGGGACTGTCCTGCAGCAATTTTACAGAAAAACAAGTCCAAAGTCGCTTTTAATAAGAGGATTGTCTTGTGCTACTGCTAGGGTACGCATTGTGCGTATTTGGCGTACAGCTGGGGGCGCCACTGACAAAGGGTGTGGCGATACACAGAGGTTAGGGCTGGGTGGGGGTTAAGGTCGTCATGTTGGGATTAAGGGTTTGCCCATAGAAATGGAGAGATATAATTACAAAGCTGTGCGTATGTGTGTGTGTTTGTGTGTGTGTGTGCAAGAAAACTCACCGGTTAACCTTCTGAAACGCTGTTGTAATTTATATAATATTTGTACAATTATTTTTCTTCTGACCAGCACAGCAGCCAATTGGCCCACCGACTGGCCTGGTGCTATCTGAGGGAGCCTGAATGAGGAAGATCATGGGTTTTACCAGAGTTCTCAGGTAGCCTTAGTCTCCCACAGCACAGGTAGGTCCTCCACTGCTGACGGACGTTTTCTTTGATGGCACAATGGAAGATAAAGATGAAGAACCCTGCGGTTAAAAAAAGAAATTCAAGTGTGCTGCTTCCAGTTGGTCAGGAAGAATGTGAGCTGAAATTTATTATAGATATTTATGGGGACTTTACAGCGGTTCAGGGTAAATAACTTTCAAAAGAAGTGTCTGTACAGTTATAAATATGGTTACACCTGTTGCTCACTGTGTTTGGTGTTTTTTAATATATGTGCAAAAGTACATTTTTACAAAAGTGTCTCTGTGCTGGACAACCTCACCCTGCAGAGAATTGAAAATGGAGAAGAGGTACATGAAGGGCAGGTTGAGAGGTCCCCAAGCAAAGAAGGCGAATCCCCAGGTGAGCCCCAGCAGGATGGTGAGGCCAGCCACGCTGCGCAGATCCTGCAGCACGCTCCGGTGCTGCGAATTGTGGGGGTTCTGCCGCTTTATCCGACACAGCTGCACCAGCACCACCACAAACATGGCCAGGTTGATCAGGAACACCAGGCAGAAGTAGGCTACAACTCCCACGTAGAACACAGTCTGGTCATTCAGGTCAGTCAGCCAGCAGCTGGATGGACATGGAAGGATAATGGTCACTGGCTTGTCCACTGACACTCTTATCTGGGTTTACAGTGTACATACTACCCTGGAAAACCTTGCTTGATTAGAACTTCTCCTGTGGTGTGTTGGCAATGGCCCTGGGTTGGTTCCTGCCTGCACCCATTTTTCCCGGGATAGGTTCCGTTCCCCCCCACAACCCCAGTTAGGATTATGCTTTTTCAGAACATGGATGGATGAATTAGAACTACTCCTAGCATTTCTCTGATCACTTGAATTCCCATTGACCTCCTAAACCCTTGAAGTCACTTATTCACCTTAGATGCAACCCTAAGTTCTAACATGCTAATGTTCATTTAAATGTTAGTCTGAGTAGCTTGCAAGGTAAAAGCAATCAAAGAGAATCTTTATTATGATTATTATGCTTCTTGACACTCACAAAGTGTCTGTGGAACCATCAGGGAAGCGCCCATAGGAACCAAAGCCATAGTAGTCTTTATTGACAGAGATGATAATGACAACCACAATAAGTGGAGCACCTAAAATATCAAACAAAATCAGAAGATTAGACACAAAATACGGTATCATAAAGACTCCAAGATAATCTGAAACCATCCAGAGAACAGACTCAGGATGGCGAGAAACACTAGAGCTTGTACCCCAGCCGACAATGCAGAACTTGAGCATGTATCTGGTCACATAAGTGTTGAAGACCTTGACCAGTGCCAGGTACATGTGGAAGGCCTCCAATCCCATCCAGGTGAAGGAGGCCAGCAGGAAGTAGTGCAAGAAGAAGGCAGTAGAGATGCAGAGACCCTTGGCCTGAGGATACAGTGCCAGCCAGGAGTCCAGCAGGAAGACCAGGTTGAGCAGCAGCAGTGCCAGGCACAGCTGGATCAGGATCTTGGCGGGGATGTCCCTGCGCAACTTCCTGAGGCAGACACAACAGAGAGGATGACTCAACCTTACAATGCAAGAACATACACCAGCCCATAAATGGTGCTAGCGCCCCCTGTACCCCTGGTCAGAATAAATGGCTGCAAGACAGAAGGATGGATGGATGTCGTCCGTAATGCTGATGGAAAGCACTGGTCATATGACTCACTCAAAAGCCAGGTAGGTCAGCAGCGTCACAGAGAGAAAGATTGCAGATATTCCACAGCCGATGTAGGAGATGTAGGTGAGGATTTCATTCTGCACAGGGCTAATACTGTTATCCATGGAAATGTCCTGTCAGGAACAAGAGTGACATACATCACAACACCAATAGGGATTTGCCAAGGACGACCCAGCATCCTCCAGTCAATTATTGCTTAGCTCTCAAGTATAATATCCAGGAGACAGGAGCAGGCGTACTAACCAGCAGCACAGCAAAGCTAGTGAGGTGGTTGCACCTGCACGTGGTCTGCTCACTGGTGGTGTTCTGAACAGAGCAACCAGCACTACTCCAACCCCCAGATCCATCTATGAAACACAACAAGAATACAGGACCATGCTAGGTGCAATTTAGTTTCATACTTAGTCTATAAAGGTTTTTAAGCGATAAATGAGGACTATAAATGGACAGTAAAACAATACATACTGTTTTCTGTGAAGTTCCAGAATACACAGTAGACATTTTTCTGTGGAGAGAGACAATGAAGTAAAAAGACGCAGAAACACCTTTTGAACAAACCCTGAAAACCACAGCAAACCTTTTTGTCGTTGGGCTCTGTGGTCTTTAGAACGAATTCCACGTCATCTTTTAAGCCACTGATGGACAGGTTGGCTACGCTGGAGCCGAGAATGCCGCTGTTTAGTACACAATTCTCACGTGATAGTGATTTGTCCTGGAAGGGGATGGTGGGGGGGGGGGGTGTCAATCAGCCTCCTGGTGACAGCAAAGTGCTGAAAGCACAGAGATGCAAAAACAGCCAACAGGTACCACAAACACGGTGCTCTTCTGGTAGAAGTTGAACTGAACTCTGGAAGCTAGAAGTTTGTCCTGAGATGTCAGGTTGCTGGTCAGGGAAGCTGGTAGTGTAATGGAGCCCTGAGGCACTGGAGATGATGCAGCTGCTTTGAGACCTCCACTCCCATCAATCTGAAACAAGCAGCATAGAGAGTTTCAAACAACCAGGAATCTACTCCAATCGAACATGCAAGACAGAAAGTGTCAAACAGGCAGGAACGTGCTGCAGACAAACAAGCAGCACATAGTGGCAAACAGGCAGGAACAAGCATCACGCAAATAAGCAGGACAGAGAGATTCAAACTGGCAGGATCATGCACCAGACAAACAAGTAGCACAGAGAGTGTCAAACAGGCGGGAACGTGCTCCAGACAAACATGCAGCACAGAGAGTACCAAACAGGCTGAAAAGTGCTGCAGACACACAAGTAGCACATAGATTGCCAAACAAACAGGCAGGAACGTGCTACAGACAAATAAGCAGCACAGAGTGTCAAACAGGTGGTAACATGCTCTGGACAAACAAGCACAGAGAGTGCCGAACAGGCTGGAATGTATACCAATCAAAAAGGTCAGAATGAGCAGTTTATATACTGACAACATCACAGTGATGTACAGGTACAGTCACCAGAAAGTGAGCTTCATTTGTGAAATTAACAGCCGGGGTCACACCTGCACATTGGAAGAGTTCATAATGGAGAAGGAGGTCTGCTGAAAGTTTGTTCCATTCACTTTCTTCACACCCAGAGCCACTGATTCAGACAGTATTGTCTCTGTTGGATCAGCTAGGACTAACTTAATCCCCACCGTGTCCACCAGGCCAATGATTCTGTTAGCAGAAAACACAGCAGCATTCCAACTAAAATTAGTTTCACTCACTGTTTATTTGAATAAAACTTATCTCTATTGTAATATAACTATGTGTCAGATGCACAGTGAATCGCCCTGTGGACAAAGCTAAATAAAAAAGAAGTAAATGAATAGAAAAATGATCAAGTGACACACCTGGTGGAGGAAGCAGCCAGAGCGCTTGCATTCGCATTGAGCAGGTTGCTGACAGCACTGATGACTGTCTCGCCCAGCTCCTGGCTAATACTGGGCCCAGACAGAAGCTCCTCGAGGCTGGACACCAGCGCCGCCACCTGGGAGGAGTTGAGAGCCGCCGCATTCATTGTCAGGTTAAGCAGCTCCTGTGCCTGTTTTTCGGAGCTTTGTGTTGTCGGGGGGACTGTGAGAAGGAACAGAGAGCCAAGTCAAAAAGGATCCAAAATGCACAGCTTCCAAAACGATGTTAACCCTAATATGAGCGTGAGGGTGTGCTTGTTCTTATCGAGCCGCAAGATTTATGTATCTGTTCAGTCTGTATGTAATGTATGTGTACATTCAAGTACAAATATTAACAGGGTGGTTATGTTCTGAGCAGGACGTCGAGTTGCATTCACGTGCATATGGTGCACAGGCCTGAGAAAGCAGCAAACTCACCCACAGTCAGTGTTGTGACTGTAGAGAACGGTCGGGATGTCACCGTGGAAACGGTGTGGGGAGGGACTGTAGAGTTGGTGCCACATGTCTCATTCAGTATATTAACATTGATCCAATCGCCTTGGCTAGAAGGAAAAAGACAAAACACTACACTACATATAGCTGCCAGAACAAGAAAATCATGCAGCATGTTACTTAAATGGGTATCTCACATTGTTTTATATATATAGATACACACACACACACACACGTTGGGTAAGCATATCTTTATGGGGGCCGCTCATTCATTTCTATGGGAAAAATGCTAATGCTAACTATGACAACCTTTTTAGTTTTTTCATTGCAGTCACAGATTTTTATTAAATTGATTATTCATCACGTTGTGGGGACACAAATCCTAGAGCTAAATTAAAGAGGAGGTAATTGAATCAGATAAGCAATATTAGGAACTAGAAAATCAGACAAAATATTGCTTTGCTAAAATGGGTGACCAGCAATACTGACCAAGGCCAAACATAGGGGACAATGCAAAAGTCTTTGTAGCTGTAGTTGAACTGGTACCAGTTGACTTTCGCGCTTGAAATATTTACCATCGGGCCACATATTGCTGAAGAAGAGAGAAGAGATACTATTTAAAGGAACAGAAGCATGAATCCTTTATTATGGAACACTGACATACACATCCCACTATGACCACAGAAGCATGAATCCTTTATTATGGAACACTGACATACACATCCCACTATGACCACAGCTATACTGACACTGCTCCTGAGAGCTCCACACTGGCCACACTGTTCCACACTGAACCCACAGCTCCACACTGTCTGCTCTCCAATCCGATGCTGCCAAACGCTCCCATGCTTCCTTCCTGCCATGCCGCACTCACCCACTCTGCATACAGGTCCTGTGAAGTTGATGCTGCTGTTGCCGGTAAACTGCATGGCCACGGCCTTCCTCACAGTGCACACGTCCTGGTCCTCTGCCAGCTTCAGTACCACCGTGTAACTCATCGGGCTGGGAAGGAATGAAGCCTGGCTGTCAGTGTCTGACTGCTAGCACGGTTTGAATGTCTCAGTGCCCTCACGGCTAGTCACACAACACAGAAATATATTTCAGTGTAGAATTTTCAAAATTCTTACGTCATATCTGGATTATTGCAATTCACATAATCGTCCTGGAGAAAATAAAAATGCAACAAACAAATTAATCAGGTGTCGTGTATATTTTCATTTAAATGACCATGTAAGTTACCTGAGAGGTGAGGGAAGATGAACAGGAAGACCTGTGGAAATAGGCATGTGTCTGAATTCCAACAAGAACAGGCAGCAGAGGAGTTAAAGACAGATGTACGTGGTTATAGCGACAGTTCACCCCAAAAAAATTAATAAATAAACATATTTCTCAGATACACTGCATGGCTTGGTGAGCTAGCAGTATCAGTTAACATCAGTCACTAACACTAATAAATTGCAACAGCACTATCTTAGTTAATAGTAACCACTGAGCTAGCTAATGTTAGCACTCAGGCAAGGAGGACGTCATGTTATTAGGAGCACGAGTGCCCTGGCGCTAACTTCTGCCCAGTGATACGATTGGTGTTCAGTAGAAGGAAAACAGTTCCTACATTAAACTGCTCACTACAAGGTCTGTGGATTATCTTGAGTAACCTGGTTATGATTTCTGGTAAGAGACATTACTGTTGAATTTTTCAAATGTATTGTTGGCATTTTAATCACCACAGAGAGAATGGCATTCCAACATCATATTTGAAAGCAGTCTGACATTTGTACGGCCACTATCTCAAACTAGGCAACTTTCACCACAAAAATCTACATGGATATAAAGCCCCACAGTGTATCTGAAATGTGTTATTTTTTTATTTTGGGGTGAACTACCCCTTTAAAATGAGAAGACACATACGATGAATTCGTCCTGCAAGTTGGTGTGGTTAAATTCAATGTGGAGATCTGTGTGAAGAGAATCACAGTGGTATTATCCAAACAACAAATAACTGGAAAAGACTGCATAGATTAAGGCCCATGGGGGCGTAATATATCTGTAATGGACAATACAAACTTACCAAATGCTTAATTTCAGTGATGTTCACTGCAGGATTATTCACAGTGATATTAAAGTAGTAGTATGCAGCTAGGGGAGACAAAAGGGCATCTCTGTTTAAAAGCCAAAAATGCTTTTGTGTTCCTAGTAACCATAACCCTAACTTTCCAACAACTTCTGCTCAGACTGTCTTTGGCTACGTTCACACTGCCATGCTGAAGTGACTCAAATCAGATTTTTTGCCTTAATGTGACACAGATCTGATCTTTTCAGGGCTGTGTGGACACGCAAATCTGATCTTTTTAAATCAGATTTGTGTCACTTTCATATGTGGTACTAAATCTGATACGTATCCGATTCGCGGCCATGCGACCTGAATGTGACGCTCAGATCGGAATTCATGTGGCTTTTTGCTTATACACATGCGCTGACATCAGCCTGCACCGACAGCGCGGGAAGGTAAAAATGGGGAAGAGCTGCGATAACAGTCAGTGGAAGGATGGAGAAGGTGGGGATTTAATTGATATTTGGGGAAATTAATCTGTTCAAGCTAAACTGGAAGGAACCTATCGTAATAGAGTAGTAATTGAAATAATTGTCAAAGAAATGGCGCAGCGCGGACACGAACGTGGCTACAATGCCAAAGAAAAATAAAGAGCCTGAAGTCAAAGTTTAAGGAGGCAAAAGACTCGAATCAGCGCAGCGGTCATGGCCGCACAACATGCCAATTTTACGACCAGCTTTATACCCGTGTAAAAACGTATCAATGTGTGCATGCGTGACATTTCGGAGGACCGATGCGTTCACATTACACTCAGAAACAGGTCACTTGTACTTATGAATGTGAACCGTCAAGATAGACAAATTTGATCTGAGCAAAAAATCGGAATTGAACGATGTGGCTGGCAGTGTGAACTTATTTCCCAAAATCCCCAAAATGTGGGCTACTTTACACTTCAACATTAAGAGCAGTCTAATAATAGCCGACTGGGTTATCTAGAATATCTAATCAGTCTTGTCCTTGTTGGTAGTTGATGGCGTGCCATCCTGCAAGCTGTGGTCCAGAAGCATCCTTCATGTAACAGAAGATGTGATGCAGATCTGTGTGTGTGTGTGTGTGTGTGTGTGGATGGAAGCTGCTATGTCTGCACCACTGTGCTGAAAACCAACCTTTCGCATTGCAGTATAAGTCACACTGACAGGTTGAGTTTGTTGTAGCTGAAAGATGAAGACACAGAATTATCTGTCACACCCACAAGTAATGTATAAGCACACAGAGCTACAGGTAAAGCACAAAGTCACTCTCTATTATTGGCAGAGGTAGAGGTAAAGTACAAGGTCACTCTCTGTCATTGGCACAGAGCTACAAGTAAAGTACAAGGTCACTCTCTGTCATTGGCACAGAGCTACAAGTAAAGTACAAGGTCACTCTCTGTCATTGGCATAGAGTTACCGTTAAAGGTTTTGTGACTTAATGAATAGAGCCTGACAGTCACTGGGATGGACTGGAAAGATCAGTCCACAGCACTTTTATGGCTCATCTCTCCTTCCTTTTGTGCTGATGTCCCATAGGCTGACAAACCACTTCCATGACAACATGGTGGCCTGTCCTGTGCTTTACATACACTGCATCACTGTATGAGTATACAGTACCAGTCAAAAGTTTGGAGACACCTACACATAGAAAGGTTTATTTGTACAATTCTATACATTTTAAATTAATTATAAAGACATAAAAATTATAAAATAATATATATTGATGATGTACTGACCAAGCAAGTGTTAAATAAAAGAATAATTTGTTGAGGGGTGCAGCTCTCTGGGTTGGGACTCAGAAGGTTGCTGGTTCAATGTACACATAGTTGGCAGAGTGATGCCAACATTGGGCCCTTGAGGAACTGACTGGCCCTAATATTTCTTCTATGCCAGGTTCATGAGGCGGCCTCCTGGGATGCTTTTCCAGCTGTCCTGAAGGAGTCCCACATATACACTGAGCAACCTTTTTGATCCTTTTCCTTCACTCTCTGGTCAAACTTCTCCAAAACCATTTCTACTGTGTTTACGTAAGGTGGCCACGTCATAAGATGCAACACTAAGATTCTCCTTTGCTGGCAGCTTAAAGTCTCCAAAATGTTGACTGGTACTGAATATATATATATTTAGACACATATAAACAGAGATACACACACACACACACACACACACACACACACACAACAGAAGACTTTTGGCATTTTCAATTTCTTGACTGCATAGATCTTTAAAAAGTTGAAGTTATCCTTGTGGGGACCAAAAAATGTCCCAACAAGGTAAAAAGGTATTGGTTTTTAATACATTGCAGGGAAATCTGGTCCCCACAATGTAATAATTAAAAAAAAAAATATATATATATATATATATACACACACACACACACACACACTTATTTGTTTGTTTGTTTATATGCACTGATAATATTGCCGCCAGCTCCTATAGCCATGAAAATCTACATAAGCCGTTCTACAAGTATTTCATATTTAACTACCACCCCAGATATTTTCCTACAAAAAACATTAAAGATGCTAAAGATAAAAACAGAAATAGTTTTATCTACACTTGTAGTGGAAAAACAAGTCAAACGACTTACAAATGACATGCAAGCGCACTCTTGACGTCACAGCATTGTCCATCAAGACAAATGCAGATGCTGAAAATAACACTGTGAACCTCACCTAAGGATCAACTAATATAACCATTAGAAAAAAAATCTCTGCCTTTAACTCTAGATTAAAGAGAGACATGTTTAGCTGCACCATTGCCTAATAAACCTAACCCAAATTGTTTAGGATGGATGTATTTAAAGAGATTCTGACATTTCTAGCAAACTGTACATTCTGACTATTGTCTGTGGAGTGGCTGCAGCTTGCCATAATTACCATGAAAAATATCAGAGTGTAAGTGGTACAGTGACACAGACGGCCTCCACTTCCTGGTTACAAACAAAAGTAGGATTAACAGGTTCCTGAAAAGGTGTGTCTCCAGCACTGGAGAAACTGGCTGAGCTACATGTCACTGCAGTCACAGGCTCTGTGTAGGGGGCATCACACCACATTATATGGCACAGCGGGGCTGGCAGAGCGTGGCGAGGATGCTACAGCATGACAGGGCTGGCAGAGCGTGGCGGGGATGCTACAGCATGACAGGGCTGGCAGAGCGTGGCGGGGATGCTACAGCATGACAGGGCTG